CCAATGAATATAATCCCAATCTACTCAGTCTCTCCTCATAAGCCAACACCCTCAACTCCGGAATCAACCTAGTGAACCTCCTTTGCACCCCCTCCAGTGCAAATACATCCTTTCTCAAGTAAGGAGACCAAAACTGCACACAGTACTCCAGGTGTGGCCTCAACAGCACCTTGTACAGCTGCAACATAACCTCTCTGCTTTTAATTTCAATCCCTTTAGCAATGAAGGACAAAATTCCATTTGCCTTCCTAATTACTTGTTGTACCTGCAGACCTACCTTCTGTGATTCATGCACAAGGACACCCAGGTCCCTCTGCATAGCAGCATGCTGCAACTTTTTACCATTCAAGTAATAATCCTTTTTACTATTACTCCTACCAAAATGTATGACTTCACATTTATTTACATTGTATTCCATCTGCCAGACCTTTGCCCACTCACTCAATGTATCTATGTTCCTCTGCAAAGTTTCACAGTCCTCTGCACACTTTGCTTTGCCACTCATCTTAGTGTCATCTGCAAACTTTGACACCCTACACGTGGTCCCCAACTCCAAATCATCTATATAAATTGTAAATAATTGCAGTCCCAACACCGATCCCTGAGGCACACCACTAGTCACTGACTGCCAGATAGAATAGCACTCATTTATCCCCACTGTTTGCTTCCTGTTAGTCAACCAATCCTCTATCCATGCTAATACTTTACCCTTAATGCCATGCATCCTTATCCTATGCAGTAGCCTCTTGTGCGGCACCTTGTCGAAGGCCTTTTGGAAATCTAGGTACACCACATCCACTGCGTCCCCATTGTCCAACTTGCTCGTAATGTCTTCATAGAATTCCAAAAGATTTGTCAAGCATGACCTGCCCTTCATGAACCCATGCTGCGTCTGCCCAACGGGACAATTTCTATCAAGATGCCTTGCTATTTCTTCCTTGATAATAGACTCAAGCATCTTCCCCACTACAGAGGTTAAGCTAACCGGTCTATAATTCCCCATCTTTTGTCTACTTCCCTTTTTAAACAGTGGCGTCACATTTGCTGTTTTCCAATCTGCTGGGACTGCCCCAGAGTCCAGCGAATTTTGGAAAATTATCGCCAGTGCACCTGCTATTTCTCCCGCCATCTCTTTTAGTACCCTGGGATGCATTCCATCAGGGCCAGGAGACTTATCAATCCTTACCTCCATTAACTTGCCCAACACTACCTCTTCCGTAATAATGATTATATAGCTGAAATATATAGCTGTTTCTTCAGTGTCACTGGGTCAAAATCTTGGAATTCCCTCCCTAATGGCGTTGTGGGTCAACTCACAGCATGTGGAATGCAGAGGCTCGTGAATGCAGCTCACCACCACCTTCTGAAGAGCAACTAGGGATGGGCAATAAATGCTGGCTCAGCTAGCAACATCCACATCCCATAAATGAATTTTTTTTAAACTTGCTTTGCATTGGTAAGATCAGGGAGATGAATGCATGGCTTTGGTGGGATAGGCAAATGGAATTTGGTGTAAATTTAAAGATGGGGAGCAGCGCTTTGGATGAACTCAAGTGTTCAGACAATACAATGTGGGAGAGCAGCTAAAAGTGTATAGAATAGTTAAGTTCAGAAGTCTCAAAGATAAGAAACAAGTTTACAGCAACAGATGAGCTAAGACAGTGTTAAACTTAACAATGTTATGGAGGAGAAAATATCTCATTGTGTCGTAGGTTAATCCAATAAAGCAATGTTGAAAGATATGGCACAGACAGAGGCTATTCAGCCCATCTGTGCTGACTTTCCAATTGTATAACTCTCCACCTAGTCCCATAATCTTCTCTTTTCCCTACTGTCTATGTAGATTTTCTCCTTTAAGTATTGATCCAATTTTTCTTTGAAAGTTATTATTGAAGCTGCTGCCACCATTTTTTCAAGCTGCACATTCCACTTCATTACAACTCACTGTGTGACAGATATTTTCTTTCACTCCTGTCTGGTCCTTTTATGAGTTCCCTTTAGACTGTGTCCCTGTAGTCACTGACCATCCTGCAGCTAGAAACAGTTTCTCTTGATTTTTGCTCTCTTGATTTTGAGCACTTCTATGAAATATCATCTTCACTTTCTCTGCTCTAAGAGGAATAATTCCACCTTCTTTCATCATGCAACATAAAAGTTAATTCAATAAAGCAACAGCAGAGGAGCCTTGAATGTAAAATGTTTCAGGGTACTTCAAACAGTCTGTCTTTAAGAGGTAGTTAATAGAATTAAGAAGATATCCTTCCTTTCACCATAGGTGTTTGGGATTGGATCCATTTACATCCTTCCCAATACCTCTTGAGTCTGTTGCAATGCCAAAACGTTGTACTTTTTACTGCACATTCTGGAGCCCAGCTGGCTGCCCGGCAGCACACTGCTGTTAACCTCTTGCCTAGTGTCTTGGCCACGAAAATAACAAACATGGAATGGTGTCAGCTGTCAGCTTTTACAGAGGAAACAGGAACTCACTGACAATGAGAGATTAGGAAACACTGACTTGCTGGGTTCCACAAAAATAATCCTGACCCCACATTCAGGGGAACTGTTATTAAATCTTATTCAACTAGCAAGGGAGAAACTGCAAATAATAACTGCCAATAATACTCTCGTTATCAATGTATTTATTTGTTTGCTTATTTACAGATACTCTATTAAGTTAACATTGCTGGAGAGAGCAGATGAACTTCTCCTGTTGGGTAGATCAATCATGCGTTAAGGTTAGGGATATAATCTGCCCCTGCCATAATAGGACTATAAAACAATGGAGCAGAAGTAGGCCATTCAGTCCATCAAGTTTGCTCTGCCATTCAATAAGATTGTGGTTGGTCTGACAATCCTCAACTCCATTCCTACATTTTCCCCATAATCTTTGAATCCCTTACTGATTAAAAGTCTATCTCAGCCATAAATATACTCAATGACCCAGCCTCAACAGCTCCCCGTGGTAAAGAATTCCGCAGATTCACTACCCTCTGAGAGAAAAATATTCTCCTCATCTCTGCCTTAAATGTATGACTCTTATTCTGAGATTTTCCTCTGGTCCCAGACTCTCCCGTGAGGGGAAACACACTATAGCTGCACACCATAGTTCGGCTGGTTTGAGATGTCGGCGTGGGAGGGAAGGGGGAAGTCAGGAATTCATGATTCCTTTTGAAAGTGATTCAAACAGGATGAGGGACGGTAGTTGCTGTCATTGCAGAGTGACCCTTATCAGGAGCAGCCATAACACAATAGCACATCCCCCAACTTTGTTTTTACCTGCATATCCTTTAAGGTGGTCCTCCTGTGTGGCTACGCCCGCAATCCTGGCACCATCATTGCCAGGTTCTGGTGTTGCTGGGGATGTTGGAGATCCAGAGGGTGGGATTTCCTCCCTGTGAGTTGGGGAGGGGATTATGTCGGACTTTGCTTCAATGTAACCACCTCTTGGGGCTGTATGAGGCTATAAGGCTGGATTTCCATCTGGCCAATGAGTTTCCTTCAGTGATGGTAATGGACATCTCCCCCGAGATCTTCTGCCCCACGATTACTTTGAAAAGTAGAGCAACTTCAAAAGGTCAAATGGTCTTCTCCTTCTCCATTTAATGTTGCTTCCACACAGAGATTAAAGGCTCCTTTTCCAATCTTGTGCTCCATATTGAACTGGATCTTGTAAGGGATGGATGTTGGAGGTGACACTGAGGGTCATTTGATTGGTCGCTGGGATGGAGGGATTAAATTATGAAGAGGGGGGAAGCTAAGTAACTTGTGTCAACAGTTTCTGGCACTTGGTTAAATAACAGACAAACTCATTGAAAGTACAAGATTCTGAAGGGGTTTGATAGGGTAGACCCTGAGAGATTGTTATTAATGGACCAATTTAAAACACTGGCACACAGTCTCAGGATGAGGGCCAATAGTCCTGGACTGTGATGTGGAGAAGATATTTCATTCAAAGTGAGTATTTGGAATTCTCTGACAATAGAGTTATGCATGCCCTATGAACAAATACTTTTAAATCTGGGATAAACAGTGCTTTGGTCTAAGGCAATAAAAGCATATAGGGAGGGAGCAAGAGCATGAATTTGAAACACAAGATTAGCCATGATCTTTTTGAATGGTAGAGCAGATTCAACAGGCTGAAAAATTTTACTCCTGCTCTAGTTTCTATGCGAAAATGGTGGCACAATGGTAATATTGCTGGGCTAATAATTGAGAGACCCAAATCAATTTTATCAGGGGACGTGAGTTAAAGCAAAATATAAGAGTTGGGCGGTCATGTTACAGCTGTACAGGACATTGGTTAGGCCACTTTTGGAATACTACATGCAATTCTGGTCTCCCTTCTATAAGAATGATTGTCTGAAATTTGAAAGGCTTCAGAAAAGATTGACAAGGATGTTGCCAGGGTTAGGGGTTTTGAATATAGGGAGAGGCTGAATAGGCTGGGGTTATTTTCTCTGGAGCATCAGAGGCTGAGGGGTGACCTTTTAGAAGTTTATA